ATATATAATATTGAAGGAAGTTAGCCGTTAACACTGTTGAATAAATATAATATAAATCATCAAATGTACATATACAGTGTTTAATAAGGACATGATGTCCTTATTAAACACTGTATATGTACCTTTGTTGATTTATATTATATATATATATATATATATACATATATACATAATACATATATATATACATATATGAGAATGCGGATTAATCCCGATACAAATGATCACTTATTGATAATTTTTAGCATTTTGATTGACCATCTCGGCCTGCTTATTGTTGGTGTTCAGGCACAGGGCGGAGATGTGTTCTCAGAGTGACTGCTCTGGTTGTAATATGCTGTTTGACTGTTTATATATGAAATATACTGAAGCATACTGTCAACAAGCAGACGAATTCTCTAGGCACATGCTGGTCTGATATTTAATGATGGTACAGACTCGCGAAGGAATGCGCATTGGTTTTATTTTTATTTCTTGGACTCAGAGTGGAATTAATAATCGCATTATAATAGGTGTATAGTTGGCCTATCAACTGGCACTCCCGGTAAACCACTCCTTGTATAATCCATCCTGCTGTATGTACCATTCTGCCCGATGGATTACATGTTGCCCAATTAAAAGTGTCTATACCATTTATTACCGCTTATCAGATTAATACAGATCCATGTTAAGGATCCGTTTTGTGGGGTGTGAACTGAACTGCACACTCCATGTTCGTCTATTAAAGCGGTCATGTCGTAGTTACGTCTGTTGGTTAACCTCAGCTCCCCATCTGTGATTGGCTATCACTGAGTGCGTAGTCTCAACAAGCATTATGCGTGCGCTCTCTTTCTTTTGGCTCTGGTTAAGAACGAATAACTAATTAATTATTTAAAAAAAATACTATCCAGATAATTTCTTGACAGCAGCAACGACGATGATGGTGATGATGATGACGGTAAATGATGATTGATTATAAATAGTCCAATGATTATTTTTTTGTAATTTTCAATAGTTCATGTGATTCTTCTGCTGCTGTTTTTTCAATTTTTCTTCTAGCGCCGGTGGCAAATTATTTTTAACTTTAATAGGCGATTGATAAGTTTTATTGCATTATTATTATTATTATCTTTAACACTGCTTTTACCATAATTTGTTACCATAATTTATATTATTCTTGCTCCATATTTTAAAATTTCCTAATTATTGGCAATAATATAGTTTCACTGTTTAATACAAACATATTGGCCTATAATCTAAACATTAGCGGGCGCAATTTTATTAAATTTTTTTAAATTATTTTTTTCATTTAATCCCTTAGGAAATTGACGTCAATGGGATCGGCATCATTTGATACAACGGAGAGACGCGGAATTGTTCTGTCACTCGTCTAGTTGAATTTATACTACGAGTATGTCTTGGCTCCCGTGGTTAGGTTTGTTGTGGGTTCTCGCTACGACCGGTAGGTCTGCTTTAAATATGTTTCGTCTCTATTGAGCTGCTAAAAAAAGATTTAAACTTACCCCCCCCCCCCCCCAAAAAAAAAAATCATAAATATTACATTGCTTACTTTGTATTGTTCAAATAATTTATTCGACTTATTCTCGTAATTAGTTGCAAAAGAGGGTGACTGTCCCACACCTAAAGGCTTTGGAATTTGCGTGGATATGTGCACAAGCGACTATAGCTGCACAGGATCTTTGAAATGTTGTTCGAATGGCTGTGGACATGTCTGCATGGAGGCTCTTATTGAACAAGGTAAACACGCCAAATTTATGTTTTACTTCTAATAAATAATATTTATATCGTAGAGGGCTTTCATACAACAGGGCTGAGATTAAACATCGAAAAATTATTTTATTACTTATGGTATTTATTACTGATTTATTTGCAAAGAATTATCTTTTATCTAAACAGTTTTGAAACCAGGTGAAATCATTTGAATAAATATTATGGTTTGTTTCTCAGACATCATTTTTGCTAGTACACCTACAACAATTGCAGTATTTTTATATTACAGTTAGGCCTATAGATTTCTAGCTTTAGATGAAAGTATGTTGTAGAAATGAAAAGGTTAGATATAGACCTTCAGGCCCGTATCCAGGGGGTTTTTATGGTTCGGGAGAACCCCCTTTTCTAGCAAACCCCCTCATTTCTGGCGAAACCCCCTCTTTAAATTTTCCAAATAAGTCCTCCAACCCCAATGCACTGCAGACCCATCCAGACACAGACATTTTTAAACATATCTGCTTTTATAGCATTATTTAGACCCATAAAGCACAAAAATCCTCTTGCTTTGGGAGGGTTTCGCGGACCCCACAGGGACTTCGATTGTGGACCTCACGCCCAGAACACGGAGACTGGTGATGAATTAAATGCTGTACAATTTTTAATTGACTCCTTCTACTATCATATATTGTGTTTAGTTATTATGTAAATGTTAGTTTGAATAAGAATTGAAAAATATATATATATGTTTGTGACCCGTGCTCTGATAGAAAACCCACAATAAACGTCTATTAATAAGTCACCTGCTACCCTGATAGTAAGCCAATGGAATATTCCTTAGAATAAACGATATATAAACGATAATGCAAAAAATAACGCCGTGGCTTTAGACTATGACTTCAAGGAGATGCAGATATACTGGTCTGACGTGTCTCTGGATCAGATCTACCGCACTAATATAGATGGCACTGGTGTACCAGAAGTTCTCATCACTGAGGCTAGCATACCAGATGGAATCTCTATTGACTGGGTCTACCGTAACATTTACTGGACTGATACGGGAACCAATGCCATTGAAGTCGCAAGCCTTGAAAATCCAAGCAAACGTACCATTCTCATTTCTGATAATTTAGATGAGCCAAGAGCTATTACTATAGAGCCAAGACTTGGGTAATGTCGCTTACTTAATAATATTAGATTAATTTATACTATTGTGATATGTTTAAAAGTATATATGACAGAAAACAGACACAAAAACATGTAAATTTAATCTTTCTTAAAATTAGATTCCTATTGTAAACATGATTTGTTTTTCCACAGTTACATGTTCTGGACTGATTGGGGTCAGGCAGCTAAGATTGAACGCGCAGGAATGAATGGAGAGGCAAGAGTGACCCTCGTTGACACTGACATCAGCTGGCCAAATGGTCTGACCACTGACCTTGTTAGTGACCTTCTCTTCTGGGTCGATGGCCAGAGACACAGCCTAAGTAGCATTGACTACAACGGTCAGAGTAGACGCACCATCCTCCAATCAGATTCAATTTTGCCTCATCCTTTCGCTATCACTGTATTCGAAGATTATGTCTACTGGACAGATTGGCAGAAAAGGGCTATCATTAAAGCCAACAAATCCAATGGAAGCCATACTATTTTGGTTGGAAATCTCAATCGTCCCACTGGCATCCAAATATATCACCCTCAAAAACAAATCAATGGTAAGAATTTTATCGAAGTCTTATATACTCGAGAGAGAAAAGTAAATGTAAATGAAGATCATTCATATTTTGTAGTTTTTCAAATAATTCCGTTAAACCATCATCCAACTTTTTTCGCTTCAGGAATTATCAACCATTGTGGAGGAAATAACGGTAGATGTTCTTACCTGTGCGTAGCTGCCCCTCAAAGGGGTGATAACTCTGATAAATTTTCCTGTCTCTGTCCCACAAACTCGTTCTTAATGCAAGATGGGCGTACATGTGAGGTTTTGACAACAAGGAATCCACTGACTCCAATTCCTATAACAATCAGTCCACCAGACGGCATGACGACCGAGATTAATGGTAAAACACATTATTACTAGCCGATGGTGATATTGTTATTTATTTTATTTATTTATTACGGTATAGAAGATTAATACATAAATACAAAAACGGTAGCACTTAAAGCTAACATTGTATTACAATAAAATTGCATATTAAAATACTATTTAACAATTACAAAAAAATTACAATTAGGCCCTACAAAAAAAAAACACAATTAATTTACTTAAAAAAAGGTCGCACATTGAAATACAGTACTATTTTACAATTACAAAGAAATTACAATTACAAAAAAAAAATCATCATCATCATCATCATCATCAACCCCCTCCTCATCATCATCATTATTTATTAGGCATATTATTATAATTATAATTATTATTATTATTATTATTATTATTATTATTATTATTATTATTATTTTTATTATTATTATTGTTATTATTATTATTATTATTATTATTAGTAGTGTAGTAGTAGTAGTAGTAGTAGTAGTAGTAGTAGTAGTAGTAGTAGTAGTAGTAGTAGTAGTAGTAGTAGTAGTAGTAGTAGTGGCAGTAGTAGTAGTAGTAGTAGTAGTAGTAGTAGTAGTAGTAGTAGTAGTAGTAGTAGTATTATCATTATTTACTTGGTTACTTGGTTGGTAGACCTACACTTGGTGCAATAACATCTTCAGGTAAATTGTTCAAAGTGTCAACAATCCTATTACCAAAGAACTGCTTTGCAATTTCTGTCCTTGCTTCTCTTTGAAAAATGTTGATGAATGACCTCTCAACCTTTTCTATGTGGTGTCGAGACAAAAGTTCGATGGAGAAGATCTATATCGGAGAGTCATATATTTACAAGTCTCAAGGAGATCAATTTCTTCTCTTCTCTCCTCCAAGGAGGTCAAGTTAATTTTAGTAGTACAGGGACGCGGGTATCTTTTCTGCACCTTTTCTAACTCACTGTCTTGTTTGGTTCTTGGATTTCATGCGACTGAGGCGTAATCGAGTATTAGTCTTATGATTGACTGGTATAAAATGGTTGTCTTCTCTTCGTTAATGTAACGTGTTTGGTAGACTTCATACCACTCGTAGATCCTTCTGCTTGGAGTCCTCGCTAAGATACGTTCCTCCCAAGGAATAAACATACTGGAAAGCAGCATGAAATCTTAAGACAACACATTTAGTGCTGTCAAATCTTAGGAGCCGAAGATTAGACCATGCAGCTAAAGCTTTCAAATCTCTTTGCAAATTATTACAATTTTTTATTATTATTATTATTATTATTATTATTATTATTATTATTATTATTATTATTATTATTATTTATTATTATTACAGTATTATTATTATTAAATAATAATAATAATAACAACAATAGTAATAATAATAATAATAATAATAATAATAATAATAATAATAATAATAATAATAATAATAATAATAATAGATGGATTTAGATAGCGCAAATAAACGAGGTCTTTATGCGTTCGACAATAAGTCAAGAAAACAAAGAAAAAAGCAATAAAAACACAAAAACAAAACAATAAACACCAAAGCTAGCCCCCAAACTTAAGTATGGGGTTACACCATCACCGTCTGTGTTTATGTACTCCAGTTAGCATATTAATAATAATAATAATAATAATAATAATAATAATAATAATAATAATAATAATACAGTATTAGCATTATTATTCCCATTGTTATTATTATCATTATCATTATTATTAAAAGTCACTCCTATTAATTAAGATTAATTTAAAATGTACTGTAAGTCTGAGCAAATGAAAACCCACGATCGGCAATTGTGTATAGGCTACTGTTAGAGGATACATGTAAAGATTATCAATTCAGATGCGGTGATGGGCAATGCATCTCAATCTATTGGCACTGCGATTTTGAGGAAGACTGCGACGATGGGTCCGATGACAGAGGTTGTTTGACACTGGGCAGCCTTATTATACATATACAACTACAACTACACAAAGTCAGAGTAACATCATTTGTTCACATGATACATTTAGGAGACAACACAAGCTTTAAAATTGTATGCTTGCCGTCCAATCCCAATGTTAATTCTGAAAAAATACTGGCCGATCACTAAATCCAGTGTTAATTAGGACTTTTCTCAACAGTTTACAGCTCTCCTATACCGCAGTCCACTGAATATATCATAGAAAAAATGTAGGTCAATAATAATTTTTATGGAATGGCCACTGTTACATTTTATGATACGTGTTCGTAACGATCTATTGCAGTTATAGTGACGATTACGCGTACGACCAAAGACTTGGAGATAAGCCAGGCTTACGTTGAGCCCGGCTTATGGTTAAGCCCAGCTTAACTTTGCCGGGCGTTCAGACTAATTTGATTAGCCCATTAGCCAGGCGCGAGTATTTGTAATGAACCGTAACCGTAACAGAATATAGAACCAATGAATCTTGAAAGCCGTTGGTTCTGGCAAATATGTTACGAAGGCGACAATACTATTTTGTCATTTTTGTGCACTTTTAGAGGATACCTGTAATAAAGATTATGAATTCACATGCGGTGATGGGAGATGCATCTCAATCTACTGGCGCTGCGATTTTGATGAAGACTGTGATGATGGGTCCGACGAAAGAGGTTGTTTGACTACTGGCAGGCCTTATTATACAACTACAACTACCCCAAGTCAGTAGTAACATCATTTTTTTAAAACATAATACATCTTTAAGAAACAACACAAGCTTTAAAGTTGTTGTATGCTTGCTGTCCAATCCGAAGGTTAAATTCTAAAAAAAATACTGGCCGATCACTAAATCCAGTGTTAATTAGGACTTTTCTCAACAGTTTACAGCTCTCCTATAATACTGCAGTCCACTGAATATATCATAGAAACAATGTAGGTCAATAATAATTTTTATGGAACGTCTGTCAAGAAAGGCAGATGCATTAATTTTGTAAACCTACGGTATGTCACTATTTCAGTGTTGAAGATTTCTCGACTAAAACAATGGAATTCAATTTTACTTTTAGTTTGGAGTCATTGCTATCCGAACCCATGTGAGAATGGTGTCTGCAAAAGTAACTTTTTCACAAAACTTTTCCACGGAGGATACAAGTGTGAGTGTTACAGTGGATACTCTGGCAAGCATTGTGAGGAAGGTATATTCTTTATATTTACCTCTAATATTTTATTTTGTTTATTTTCATGTTCGTGGACATTACAGACTTAAACGGAGTGGTTTGTGAGTAAGGTCCTTCTTTCCCGACAAATCCCAGGGTCTAGTACTTGGTTTCCCTTCCTGTCACGGAGGTACAGGATTGTTTTTGTAACGTTCAAAATGTTTTTGTTTATAGCTTTTACTGTAATTCACCTACTCTACCACTGAGGGGGGGGGGGAACCCAATTTCGTCCGACGGCACGACGAGGTCAACGGATCAAAAAAAAAAAAAAATAATAATTTTACTATCCAAATAACGCTATTGTAATTGCTGATCTGATATTGTTGTCTAAAAGTACAATTTGCCATAATAAACCATAACAATTCAATATGTGTGATGTACCATAATGAATAACCTTTGAAACATTGTCTTTGATGTGTTTACTTTGCTTTACCTACTTCAAACCGTGAGTCCAGTTCCACCTCAGCCCCACCATGGTTGGGGCTGAGGTGCGAAAATTTTAGAAAATAGTACCTATAGATGGCCGGAAATGACACTCTTATATATAGTAAAATTCATCATCTTTAACTTTAAAACATTGTCTTTGATGTACCGGTATTTACTTTACTTTACCTACTTAAATTCGCGAGTCCACACCCATCTCAGCCCCACCATGAAGAGCGAAAAATTAATCATCATCATCACATCACCATTATAGTCAAAATGAAGTGCCAACAAATTTCTCATAATCTTTCATTAGGGATTTTTGGCAATCATAGAGATCTAATTAATCCCTGTGATGCACTATAGAAAATAAAATTTAATTGTCTTTGATGTATTTACTTTACTTTACCTACTTCATGTGCCGAAAGAAATCTTATTTTTACACCCTTTTCTTCTCATACTTTATAATTTTAAAGAAGGCACGCGCACTCAAGTCGTGTATAGGTAATTTTTGATTTGTGGTCAGAGATACCGGTATCTTGCTATAAGAAGATATATTCTGGCTGTACAGGGCTCTTTCGGTAAAACCTGGTTCATTTATGCAATTCATTTCAACAATTTTCAGGCATCTTTTTGACATATCAAATCACATTGCCACCGAAAAGTGGGGGACCAACCCCACCCCGTCCCACATGATCTGCGACCATGCCTCCGTCGACATGGCGGACCCATTGTTGGCAAATTAAATTTCTTATGCCACCGCTGTATACAATATACATACACACACACCTCCACCCACACACACACACACACA